CACGAGACACCAGCTCCGAAGGTCATGGTTGAGGAACTCCTTTCCGCGGTCCGTGTGGAGCCGTTGAACAGGATACCCCTGCCTTTTCAACTGGATGTAGATGTCCTGGATGCCTTCCAGAACCGTCTTCGCCTTCTTGTTTGGCAGCGGGATCGCCTTCACAATGACCTTGAGTGGTCTTGGCTCTCCACATTCCTCCCTTGCAATCTCCTCATCTCTCCTCCCTTCACCACGGTCGTCTCGCTGATCTGGTTCCCCACGATCCGGCTCCTCCGCTCCTTCTTCTTCTTGGATGCCCTCCTCGATCACCGGGAGGTCCTCTTCTTGCACTTCTTTGTCTTTTTCCTCTTCCGGAAACGGTTTCCCTGGTTCCTCCTCCACAGGCCAAGTGTACGTTCCAATGAGGAAGTAGCTCACCGTGGCATCGTTGATGTCCTTGCCCGGGCGAAACGGTCCGCTGAGGTCCAAGCTCAACACCGCCGCCTCCGGATAGGCAACTTTACAATGCCTCCTTCCCCGAGCGGACGCCTCCTGACAGACTCGGCAGTCCCGCCTGAAAGGGGTATGCCCGTGCAACAGGTGCTCCCGCCAACTCAGTTTGCAATTCCTCGCTGGCTTCCCGAACACCTCCTCCTGCATCGCTCGGGCGACCTCCCTCATCATTCCTGGGGCCCACCTTGACAAATCCGTTGACGACTTCACCGGCGCTTCACTTCTGGTCCGTGCCGTCGTGGATCTGGCTGTCGGCATCTCCAGGTGCAGGTTCGTGGCCACCATTGTTGGCTTGACAGCGGCACCTCCATAGTCCCCTTGCCGGAACCGGTACTCCATCAGCCCATGATCATCTTTCAGCCTTTTATAGCTGTCTGTCCTCCACCAGGACCCACACACTGGCACATAGTCCGGGGCCTCCGGCTGCTCCAGAAGGAAGGCTACCCGCTTCTTCTCAGAGCTGCAGGATGCACATCTCTTCCGACCTTCCTCCGCTGCGCAGAAGATCATCACCATGCGGTACAGAAGCACGTCGTCCTCCCACACTTGAATCTTCTCCTCCGGGTCTAAGTTCGGCAACCCAAACCAGTGCTCCGGATCCGAGCTCCTCACCGGCCTTGGTCGACCCGCCGGAAGTGGGTAGTGCCGCAAAACGCTTCTCGTCCTGCAGTTCGGTCCACCGACCACTCCCAAGATCAGGCCACTCATCGCTGCATGCATCAAGGAGGCATAGAGGTCGTCCTCCATCATGTCATGCCGAGGTCCTCGCTTCACGTCAATCTCCACCAAGCGAGTCTTGTCCCCGCCAACCTCCTTGAGCGCTCTCCCCAGTGTGTAGCCGTCATCCTCCCCCGCGTAGAGGTGCAACACGAAGCCATCCAAGAGCTTCCTCCTCCGGGATCGATTCAGTGGTATCCCGCTCAAATCCTTTGCCGGCTGAACCACTACCTTCTCCATGATCTCCACCGGGACGCCCTGGAAGACCTCCTCATCTCTTGCCAAGTTCACCACCAGGCTCTCCTCATTTATCTTCTTCAACGTCGCGTTCTCCCTCACCTCTAGCTCCTCCAGGGCGTTGATGAGGATCAGCGCAACCTTCTTCTCTACCTCCGGGCATCCCGCGTTCATCCGGACCTGAATCTCTCCCATCACCGGGTGTCTCAACTTGCAAGCCCCTTTCTTGCTCCACCTCACCTCGCAGCCCAGCTTCTCGACTAGCATCCCAAGAGGAACGATAGGCTGCACCCTGTCATCCTCATGCACGATCACCTTCCCTGCCGTCATCCTCAGCAGCGTTTTCTCTCCACCCGCCAGCTCGACCTGGATCTCTTCGAGGCTCTGCCAATCATCTGCCCCGCATACTCCACGCATAGCATGCGTCGCCCCCGAGTCCAGCAACCCGTACTCCGGCAGGTAGTCAGTCTTCGACACCTTCACGAACCTCAAGGCTCTCAACCTCTTCATCTGGTCCAACTGCTTCTGCAAGTCGTTGAGCCTCACATCTCTATCATCTCGCCCTGTCGAAGTTGCCGCTTTGATGTTGAGGGATCGGAGCATCTTCCCGGCTTCCTCCAGCACCGATTGCAGCCCATCACCCTCCTTCGCGTCCTTAGCGTTCTTGGCGTTCCCCTTCGACGTTGACGTTGTCGCTCCTGAGGACTCAGCTTGATCTTCTCCTTGATGATTGCTCTGTTCATCGTCCACCTCCGTCACCTTGGCAATCTTGCTGGGCGACTTCTCGGTCCGGTTGCCACCCTCTTTGTCCTGTTGCTTCCTCGGACAGTCCTTGCGGTAGTGATCCACCGCTCCACACTCGTAGCACCGGTTCTTCTCGTCCTTAGCCTCGTGGCTGAACGTACACTGCCGTCCTCTCCTACATCCAGCATCCGTGAGGTAGTACCGGCAGGGCTTCCTTTCTCGCACATCCCCTTCCTTCTTAGGAGACCGCCCTTCCCAGCCTTTTCCACCTCAACCACCCGATGCCTGTCCGACTCCCTCGAACTTCTTGATCTTTCCGTCGTGGTCCGGAGCCTTGACCGTCTTCTTCTCCGTGTGCACCAGCTGCTCAAGCTCTGACAAGAGATGCTCGCAGTAGGTGCTGATTGTTCCGTAGTTGGGCACGGTGTCCACCTGCAGAGTCGATCTGGCCAGGCTGATGTTGAAGCTCAGGTCTTTGTTGCCCTCCAACACCTTCTTGGTGAGCCTGTGCAATCCTCTGCTCAGGACCGAAGGGTCTGGCAAGGACACCCCGATTTCTTCGGCCCTTCGCTTCCACCTCAGCCATCTCCTGATCCCCTGAACCGCCACCTGAATCGTCACCGCCTCCTGCGGCTGCTCCAAGTTCTTCAGGATCGACGACCTCTCTGCCACTCCTCCCGGCTGGTACAGCAGCATCAATCTGCACACCAAGGAGAATACATCCAAGCTCTTGGTCGCGATCAGCTCCTCCTTGACCTGGTCCGGAAGGGCCTTCATGAGCAACGTCACCGCACGGCGCTCCACCCTTCTCCATTTCCCATTACTCACCTCCAAAGGGGCCGTCGGAGTCATCAACAGCCGTTGCATTGGGGGTTCCGTCATGTACTTGTCGTACCAGCTCTTCACTCGTGACTGGTGTCAGAAAGATCCGCCATCACCGGACCCACCATGGTGAGCCAGTCCTGCAGGTCGATCGGGCCGGTGTCCGCGCTCAGATCCGGCAACATCAGCAAATCAACCGCCGACTTCACCACCTCCGCGTTCACCTCATCGCCTCCATGACCATTGTCCAGGATCTTCTTTTGGATCTGTTGCATGCCCTCCATGAGCTTCAGGATGAGGTTCAGGTGCGCATTCCCATCTTGAGGTTGATCTTCCCTGATCAGCTCCTCCGAAGATTCCGCCGCTTGCCCTTGACCTCGTTCCGCAGGTTTGCCTTCCGGATGTCCCTGATCGGGTGCTCGTCCAGCACCTCGCTTCTCCACCTCCATGTCGGGGGTCGCATAGGTCTCTTCCGACTGGTTGCCCTTCCTGAGCTTGTCATTCTCTGCTCGAAGCCTCTGGATCTCCATCATGAGGTACTCCTGCATCCGATCGGGCCGTGGCACTTGTCGCGCGCCTTCTCCTTGTCCCGCTCGAAGTGCTCCATCTTCAAGTTCCAGAAATTCCGGCCTTTTCAGACTCGGCTCTGCTGCGGCCTTCCGGCCACCCAGATTCACCAGCCCGCCCGGCCTGTCCCACCTCTCCAGGTACTCCAGCTGCTCCGGCGTGAAGAGTGGCCCATAGACCACCGGGTCACCCTGCGGTCCTCCACCCCATTGTGGACGCTCTCCGAAATCCTGACCTTCTTCTCCTCTAGGTCCAGCTGCTGCAGCCCACGGATTTCTCTGCGCTGATGCCGCCGCCGTAGACCACAACCTCCTTGGCACCATCGTACCCTCCGTTCCTTTTGTTGCCGGGGTCCTACTCTCATCCGCGTTCTGCAGCACCACCACCTCCTGGCCGATGAGCTCCAGTCCGGGGGCTTCCGCCGGCGATCCATTCGCAGGCCCAGACCGGCCTCTCTCTTCACCTCGGGCTTCCTGCCCCTGATCCACCGCCTCCGTGGCCTCAGTGTCCTCCACCTGGCCCACGTCCATCAGCGGCAGCGGCTCCGGTCCTTGCCCTTGAGGGGTTCCCGGGCCACCTTCTCCTCGACCTTTGCCATTGCGGCGTCGAGCTGACATCGCCACGAATTTGGGCTCATAACCTGCTCTGCTGCAGGTGCCTTTTTCTTGACCAAAAAACGGCTGTCATGTTCAGCAGAGGGCATTTGTGACGGTTGGCACCATGCTGGGGATGCTGGGATGCTGGAAGACCCGGATGCTGGTGATGCAAGGAATGCTGGGGATGCGGGGATGCTGGCCACGGTATGTACGCGTGGCATCAGGGGCCCATCGCTAGGCCAGAGATGTCGGGGGGGCAGCATCTAACATTGGAGATTGTTTGCATGGAACCAAGCGGTGAGTTTCTCGACTGGGATGGAAAGCTGTGAGTACCACAGTCATTCTTAGAGCATCGCCCAAGGCCTTCCAGTGCTCGTATGCGCTGGGCAAAATTTGGTGTTTCAATTATTTGGCCACGTAGGTGCGCAAGGTTTTGCCACAGAGGAAGTCAACAGAGCCAAAAGTCTGGTCAGGGACACCTCATCCGGGTGACTCTGTGTGACGAACCAGTTTGACCTGTGATTCATGTGTTCAATGGATCATGCTTCAGGCATCATTGAACGCTTTTCTTGTTCAATGCGTGCGTGCGCATGTTTGAGCTTTGTAGTCCAAACTGTTGTGCAACCAGGGGAGGTATTGCCGGATGGCAGTGCCTACGCCGTGTGTGTTTTCTTTCCTTTCCGGCAACCAGAGTGTGTGCTGCCCTACCTTATGTCAAGCCACACTGATCGATCACGTTTTGATGTTGCCCCAACTGGTTGGTTTGGTTGCGTCTGCAGGGACGGGGAGCATTCATTTGAGCCGTCCGGCTGCCTCGTCGCTGAGGAAGCATTTGAGAAAGCTGCACCTTGGCAATGAATCCATCAAGATGCACATGACGAGGAATTCCTTATGAAATGGGAACAAACACGGCGGGTGGACACAAATCCCGCTGAAATGTTGTCCTCCAAGAGGTCCCCAGCCAAAAAACATACCAAAGGACTCGGCTAAAGGAGGGCAAGGCTTCAGGTGAGATAATATGTGTTCCATTTTCACACTCCTTACATACATGTAGATAGAATTTCTTTTGTGGCTTCACATGTCTTGGCACGAGCTACCAGCTCGCTTAAGTTTGGCCGAATCTCGCCTAAGGCAGCTGCCCACGAGACGTTCATGAAGGTGACTCAGGACAGCAATGCAAGCCTGGCTACTCAAAGACAGTTCTGGAAGGATTCTGAACCTTGCATGCAGAGCAAGTGACATAATCAAGTTGTCATGGGTGAGTATTTGCGGAGAAAATCGCAGATGGGTACGCAAACCGAATCTTCAACTAGCAGACCATGAATTCCTGAGAGTCCAAGTTTGGAGCGCCAGGACCCCACGCATCAACAGCACCAGGTGGTTCTGGAGCAGCTCAGGCAGGGTGGATGCACCAGGAATTTGCAAGTTGTGCTTGGAATGCCTCACGTGCCCCCGCTGGCAAAACTTCTCCGAGGGACGGCCTGGCGCCAGCATCGCCATCCCCGCCCATGGTCCAATTTCTCTCCGAGGAGCCGCCGGGAGGCATTGATCACCTCGGGGAGGTTGGGGAGCAATTCTCAGGACATGATTCGTCTCAAATGGGTCCATGTTTGAGTGGGTTTTGTTATGGTGTCTCAGTTGCTATGATGTGCAATTGACGGTGCTGCGCGTGTGCCTCGAGCCGCACATCATGTGTGCTATGATGCTGCAGTGAATCTCACGCAATCCAGTGACATGCTGGGCTTAGCGCCTCGCCATGCCACAGCACGCAGCATCTCATGCTGCAAAACACTTGAGGCACTACTTGCTAGGTTTCAATATTTATGCTCGAGGAGCATGCTTGGTGGATAAGTGTTTGTGATGCATAGGGAAGCCAGACCGCTTCGTGCCTGCTCAGCAAGGAAGGAAGGAAGGAAGGAAGGAAGGAAGGAAGCAAGGAAGCAAGGAAGCAAGGAAGCAAGGAAGCAAGGAAGCAAGGAAGCAAGGAAGCAAGGAAGCAAGGAAGCAAGGAAGCAAGGAAGCAAGGAAGCAAGGAAGCAAGGAAGCAAGGAAGCAAGGAAGCAAGGAAGCAAGGAAGCAAGGAAGCAAGGAAGCAAGGAAGCAAGGAAGCAAGGAAGCAAGGGTCACAGATACTCACACCCATGTGTCGTGTGGAACTGGAAACACATGCATCATCGCCTTTGAGCTGCAGTGGTCGGCATTTGTTCTGCAGTGCGGTGGGGTTGGCTAGTTTTGCGACGGGTCACTACCATGTGTATGTGGCGCCTTTTGAATGTTTTTACCCTGGCCATGTGCCACGGGCGCTCCAAAGCGCCATACAGCGCGCGTTGGCGCGGCCGGAGTGGTTGGAAGCAAGAAGAGACTTTCGTACACGTGCCCCGCAGGAGAGGTGATCAACTGTCCGGAATCTGCGAATTTGCAGAGAGAGGCTTGGACTGTAATCAGAGCACACCTGAGCCTGTCAGCATTGTCAGCACCAAGCGTTCTGACGATGCTTATTGATTGTAATAGTTGTCAATGCACATTCAGACACCGCTCAGCAGATACCAACAAAAATATGGTCGAATCCCATATCCCTTCCTAGATTCCATGTTTCCTTGGGTCGTTACGTTAGAAACATTGTGCTTTTAACATTTGGCTTACTTATACCCCCAATTTCCTGGCATTCTGAAAATATTTATTTAATGAATATGTACCAAAAGAAATATTAATTTATTAATTTAATATATTTATGCATAATCATATTATATAACAAAATCTCTATATATATAATTTGGTAATTTAAAAAAAAAAAAAACATGAATGAATTTTCATTGATTATATATTAATAACAAAAAAAAATATTTTGTAAATTAATATTTTGATTTTATATGGAATGTTATATTTTAGTGGTGTTTTGTGGTTATATAAAAAAAAATATTTATTTAGTGTATAATTATATTGATTGATTTATTATGAAATTAGGAATTTAACATGAATATAAAATAATAAATATATTGTAGTTTATAGAAAGAAAAGATATAATAATTGGATTATTTATAAATTGATATGATATATAATTAGTAATGTTTGTTTTACAAGAATAGATAAGAGTGAATACTATATAATAATTTATAGATATTAATAAAAATATAATTTATAATTTATAATTTATTAGATATATTTTATTAATACATATATATATTTGGTGAATTAAATATTGATAGGAACATATTTGTATTTATATATATATATTATATTATTTAATTACTACAATTATATATATTAAATTTATATTATTTATTAAATATATATATATATATTTAATAAAAAAATATAGATTTAATTATATTTTTGATATATAATGTATTTTATATTATTTATGTTTTTTTTTTTAATATATCCTAAATATTTAATTTAAATTAATTATATATTGTAGATTTTAATAAAGCAGATAAATTATATTTTTTAGTTTTCGATATATAGAAATATAGGAATGGTGCCGTCTTTAGCTAATAATTTCTTTACCAAATCGATCTTTATTTATAGATTCTATCATATTTTATTGTTTATATAAATTCTATAAAATATTATTTATTTCAATTGATTAACTATATAATAGGTATTATATTTATATAATTTATATATTTAATTATATTATGTTTTTAAATTAATTGAATAAATATTGTTGATTTAGATATAAGTAATTATTATAATGAAATATATATATATATATATTTCAAATTTATAATATAATAATACTATTTATATATTATATATTAGTAAAATTATATAAATTGGATATTATATATTTCAATATTAAGAATATATAAATAGAAAACCAAATAAATAAATATAATAGGAAAGATTTCCTATATTGTACGGCGATTTTGAAACATTTTTTTTATCTAATTCCCGACATTTTCTATTTATAGGTTTAGCATTGACACTAGACGGGGTAGGCGGGGGTGGCAAGCCCAAATTTCTTTTGGGTCGTTTGGGCCGGTGCTGCATGGGGTTCTTCGGCGCTTAATATGGGCGGATAATATATATATATATGTATAGAGTTTGTCGTTTTTCTACAGGATATTTCTAGATTGTTGATTTATTTTTTATATTTTGTTAATTTAAATTTAATTTAATATATAAATCCTATATTTCCTTATAAATGTATTTCTTTAATTCTTGTATAAAAATATAAATTAGCATATTAAATAATTAATTAATCTAATAAATATAATTATATTATAATTAAATTATAACATAATTATTTAAAATAATTAGATATATAATAAATATATAAATAAATATATATATATATTAATTTAAATAAATAATAAAATTATATATATATATTATAATAAATTAATATAGATAAAGAAATAATATGCGTATAAAATGCAGGACCCTACCTAAGGCACCATCCCTCCCGGCTTCGCAAGGGGTTCCGTAACCGTCATTATCCCCTCCATTTGGAATTTAGACTATCTAAGGGTCTCGGGCTCGGGGGGAGTGGGGCCAACAATCTTGCCCGTCATCCTACGCCCTAGGTGCCAACACACATCCCGGGAGGGAAATCCGTCTTGCAAGACACAGAAAAGAAGGAGAACCAGAAAACGCAAGCTGCACAGTTGCAAAACGGCAACTAGCCGCCACTGAAAAAAACAAGATCCAATCAACAGGTCCGTGAGGAACACCAAGCTGAAAAAAAAAAAAAAAAAAAACATAGCGCGACCGCCCTACAACCGATCAAAATGCGCCAACAACTCCTAATTGCGGGGGAGCACCCCCGGGGGCGAGCACGCCCGCAGGGAACCCAGACATAGACACAAACACACGCGGACACACACACACACACAAATGCACAATACGGCTACGCGGAATAGATAGATACGGCTACACGGAAACAGACTAGGAAACACAGAGAGACGCAAACATACGGAGACACCCAGCACGAAATTTTCGAGAAATTTCGATTCGGATAAGTCCCCAAATTTCCCCAAAATTTGGCCCGGTATTTTTGTGCGGAAAGTCGCCAAATTCTAAAGAAATTTGCGGGGGTAATGTCCGGAAACCTCAGAGCCGTGTCGCCGGAAGCGACCCAAAATTCGGGAAAATTTGGCCGGGTTACACCACGGGAACTCTAAGCACAGGAGACTATTATATATAAATTTAAAGAAATCCGTTAATTGCATTATCAAGAACACAAATAAACAATTCAAAGAGGAAAAGAAAAAGAGAGAGAAAAAGAGAGAAAAAGAGAGAAAAAGAGAGAAAAAAAGAGAAAAAGAGAGAAAACAACATGAAAAAAAAAAATAGAGAGAAAACAGAAAAAAGAAATAAAAAACAATGAAACAAAAAAAAAAGAAAATAAAAAAGAGAAAAAGAGAAAGAAGAAAGAGAAAAAGAGAGAAAGCAGAAAGAGAAAAAGAGAGAGAAAGAGAGAGAGAAAGAGAGAAAGAAAGAGAGAAAGAAAGAGAGAAAGAAAGAGAGAAAGAAAGAGAGAAAGAAAGAGAGAGAGAGAGAGACAGAGAAAACAAAAGAGAAAGAAAGAGAAAAAGAAAGAGAAAAAGAAAGAGAAAAAGAAAGAGAAAAAGAAAGAAAGAGAGAAAGAGAAAAAAAGAAAGGAAAAAAGAAGAGAAAGAATGGAAAAAAGAAAGAGAGAGAAAAAATAAAAAAAGGAGAAAGAGAAATAAAAAATAAAAAGAAATAAAATAAAAAAAGAAAGAGAGAAAAAGAAAGAGAGAAAGAGAAAGAAAGAGAAAAAGAGAGAAAAGAGAAAGAGAGAAAAAAAAGAGAGAAAAAAAAGAGAGAAAAAAAAGAGAGAAAAAAAAGAGAAAAAAAAAGACAAAAAAAGAAGAAAGAGAAAGAAAGAGAAAAATAAGCAAGCAAAAAATATAGTAAAAAACAATTAACAACGAAAAAAACAAACAAAACAAAAAGAAGCAAACGGAGCTTAAAAGGGGGGGAAATACCATACAACAACGCAAAAATATATCATCTTTATAAACCGATTATTTAAAACAACCAAATAAATACACATAAAAACATTTAAAAAAAAAACGAACAACAAACACAAACACATAAAAACAAATCCAAACAACCCGAAAAACACAAACAAACAAATAAAAACAAAGAAACACAAATACGAAAAAAAATTAACCCGATAATTTTTTCGAAAAAAATGCCAAATTCTAAAGAATTTTACAAAAATAACGTCCAAAAACCTAAGAGCCATATCGCCGGAAACGACCCAAAATTCAGGGAAATTTAACTAAAGAGAATTATATCACAAAAAGTATACACAAAAAATTATTAAAAATCCCTCAAATTTCGGAACCTTCCAAGCCATACAAAAAAGCAAAAGCTTCTACCACAAAAAAAAAATAAAAATAAAAAACATCATCTATATAATCCCTTACCACAATCATAGCAATTCGGCCAGAGTACCACTATTATAATTCCCCGATGCACAAAATATATGATTTTAAGACCATATCGATATATAAAACAATATAAAAAAAAATATAAATCTAAATATTTAATTAATTTTATAAAATATTTTTTATAAAATAATAATAATTATTCAATATTTTATATTTAATTAATATATATATATATATATGTATTATATGTATATTATTTAAATTATATTAAGATTATTTTATATAATGAAAATTTTCTTAATGTATATATTCAATTGTTTTTGAATATCGTTCCAATTTTTGTTGAAATCGAGTTCAGTATAGTCCGATCACCTGCAAATTTTCATACACAAACGTGAACACATGACAATATCTCAAGTAACCTTCTGCAATGGTTGTCGGCGGCAAGCAAGCCGTCAAAGCCAAAAACTCGTGCTCAAAAGGAACCCTTTTCGTCCAGGATCATCTGCATGATGGCTGTTATACAATTACTCCATCATTCGTTGGAATAGATCGGATGGACGACCCTGTGAAAATGTCTGCCTGCCTTCCACCATACTGCGCCCACACCGACCTCGGGAAAACAGCAGAAACATCCTGTGCATTTAAGAATTATGATCACACGCAACCTTATGGTCTCCTATCCAAAATTCAAACACAAGCAGAAGGCTGCTGCTAAAATTCTTGATCATTCTACAGAGTCCAGGGGGTCAAAAGCTCTCTCCTTGCCGAGGCACCCAAACAATCAGGTTGAAGAGGATGAAGATCAAGCCAAGCCTCTCACTTCCGTACAATGGCTGCAGAACTTCAAGTCTCCCGCTCTCCAGCTTCGGTCAGGCTAACAATGCTCAGATCAGCGTTCCTTCAAGGGAAAGTGCTGGGTCACTCTGCTCAACAGAGGCCCGCCCTCGCGCCTGTACCAGTCGCGCTGCGACACATAGCCCCCACCAAAGAACACGGGCGCCTGGAATTCGGCACGGCCCATCTTGGAAAAGTTGGTTTGCTTGGGAATGGAAACCCATGGAACCACGGAAAACACATCAAGAGTTTATCCGCAAGCCATCGGGGTCAGCTGGTCAGGAACCCTCGTCATTTTGACCTGCCACATAAAAAGACTTTTAAGCTTGAACTCGTTGGCCTTTTACAAATAAGCTCAGGTGATATCCCCAACCGCATGAGGCACATTTGCACACACCTACCATGAAGTTAAAATAAAGAAACCCCAAGAATGGGGCCTGGTTTCCCCGTTGCTTTCCCTTTTACCCAAAAAGTTAGGGTATACATATGTATGTATATATATATATTGTATTTACATGGTAGAGGTCAGCAACACCACCCCCCCTCCCCGCTGCCATGGTTTGTGATTGGGGTCGGTTTAGGGTTGATTCAGGAATGGTTCAAAGTTGGTTTAGGGTTGGTGTAGGGTTGGTTTAGGGTGGGTTTAGGGTTGGTTTGGGTGGGTTGGCTCCTCGCACTCTGCATCCAAACCGTCCTCGCAGCCCCCTCGCAACCATCCCATGTATCCGGACCCTCCACAACCGCCCTCTACAACTCCCGCGTACATCGCCGGACCCCCAAGCGTCCCCGGACAAAGACCCCATAGCTTGTAGCTGCTGCTAAAAGACAAGTGGAAGCCTGGTCACCAAAACCAATTATCAATCAGCGGGTTAGACAGGCGCAATAGCTAGTTGGTGTGAGGAGAGCACATACGCGCAGCGCAGTTTGGCATCTTTCTTACTGGAAGCTCTTTCACAAAAGATGCTGACGGTAACACAACGGTGGTTCGTGGTGTGTCCCGCGCCCACTTCCGGGCTTGCATTGCTCAAAGAGGGCTTGTGCAAATAGAGTCAGAGGGCAGCTTTCCGTGATGACTTGTGTGCAAGCACCCCACTCTTCGTCAAGTCGCGGCGTTGTTCAACTTCCGCAGGGCTACAACAAAATTAAGACCACCCACACATGTGTAATATACCAAATAGGCCAATCAAACAAAACCATGTTTAAACAACAGCACCAAAAAAAGCTAACCCTGCAAGGTGTCAATCACTCAGATTGAATCCAAGGCGCATCCTCAAAACACTGGATTTTGAAACCCTCAATTGTCAAGAGGTGTTTTAAAGCTGCCTTCCAATTGCGTCACTGCCAAAATACTTTCATTTTGTACACATTTCTACTCAGCAAAACGAGGTCCTGAATTCCGGCGGCGTGCATCAATCTTCAACCAATCAGACTCATGCGTCGTGATCCTCGGCCCAGCCTGCGCCGAGGAGTACGGCGTCATGGAACCGAAGATGTTGGACGCAAAAGCCAGCCTTACGGGACAAAATGGCAACCACACCTCAAGGTGGCCCATCATCTCATGCATATTACAGAAATATCATCGACCATTCTGCATGCAAACATGACTTCCGAAGCAAAACACCAGCTCCCGTCTGCGCTGAAGGTCCACGGAACCCTGACTTTGAGGCGGGCGACGAGAAGATTGCGACCATCGGAGGCGTGCCTGTCTCCACCTGCACAGCAAACTCCCCAGACAGCGCTTCATGGCAAGGAGAGGAAAAAGACTCAAGGTCAAGCTCCGCAGTGTCTCATGCAATCGTCGCGGTGAGTTCCTTCCCCTGGGCCTCAACATCAGGACAGGCACGGAGGAGTTTCACACAGAACAACCTGGACACGCAATTCAACATCATTCAACACGGTACTGGAAAACAAACCGCCGTAAAAAGCCGGCGTTCTTTCAAACCTTACCCGAGTGAGATTCAGCTGAGCGTTGCCAGGATGCTGTGACAAAAGCCAGGGGCCCGGCCATCATTGCAATGAAGGGCAGGTACAGCGCACTAAGATGCGCCACCTGCGCGTTAGCAGTTGGAAATGCATGAGTTACTCCTTGTCATGTTGCCCTGACTGGGGTGTCCAGCATTTGTCTCGCATGCGCAGCAACTAGCATCATGTCTGCTTTTCATGATGTTTACAGTTACCATCACAGGGGCGTAAAGATTGACACAATTTATGTGTACAGGCTCCACACATGAATCCCCGCTTGACCAGGCTCAGCGCTGACTAAAGTGGCCTACTGAACGTCATAGCTGACAATAGACACTTGCGAAAACGCATACCTGTCCAGGGTATCTGAAGATTCCTTTGATTCAGTCCAGGTCGCAGGTGGGACCATTCTCTGACTTGGGTCAACGCAATTGCCATCAGACTGGATTGGCTGGCCCAAGTCTCCACAGCCCTCTTGCATCCTCTTACAAATGGCCCCATCAAGATGTTGCTGGCCGAACGTTCCCTTCCTGCGCCATTCTTTCAAAGATGCAACAATGCCTGCCATGTAGTTGTTCCATATTCCATCTCTTTCAGACTTCACCGGCGGCGCGACGAGCTGTTGGAACACCCGCCTGAGAAGCGAAGGCATAGTGCGAGAACGTATACAGGACTAGAAGCACCAAGAATGCCGAGCCTCAGCTCAAGTCAGAAATGCGTCTCACTGTGATCGTTCCTCCGTTGTACCACTGCATGCCGCTGTCCTTTTGCGAAACCCTGGCCGCTTGGCAACAAATTTAACTTCCTCTCTCGGACCAAATGCGGCACCAATACAGGAGACTGGCCCACACCCACACGCTTGCGGACTCATAGCCAGATGAGTTTCAGATGATCTCACTATCTGCACATGTCAGTGAGATGTAATGAGTTGTGAGCCCATCTCCCTTGGCTGAATGAGCATTTCTGGTCCTTTGTGCTGCGCGGGAGCCTGCTCGGAAAGCTCCATTGCACCAAATCAACTGGGCGGCATGGCAGGCCGCACCTCCAATCCAACCCATGCAATAGTTTGGAACCCCGCAAGCTGGCCAGGCCCGCCACCCGCACCCCACACGCACACGCATCGGCGGCAAGCAAGGGAGGTGCCTCCGCCAATCCGCACAAGTACCGGTTCGGCCCCTGGCTGCACCCACAACACGAGCAGTGTACCCTTGGCATGAAGGCCAGCGCCCAAACGAACTCGGCTCCGTCTTCGCGTGAAGGGAGTGCCAAATCAATTGCATCCGCTTGATCGCTCACGTTGCGCTGAATTGCCGGCCCAACAGCTTGTGGCCTCACTGTTGCTGGACCGGAAACAAGCAGTTCTTTTTGGGAACCATGCCAAGGAACGGACCAAAACTGGGAATCAACGCATCACAATGTCTAACTGATGGCAACAGTTGAAGGCAAACCCAGTGGGCCGTGGAAAACACAAACACATATCTTCACGCCCATGCCAACTATTCAAAACGGAAGGCCCACAATGAACGAGACTTCTTAAGCTATCACCAAATAGATGAACAAACAAACAATCAGGCACGTATCATTGAGGCTTCCAACTCTCTTTGTTCCTATGTGGGCTTACACCTCCACGGGGGTGGTTCACGAATTTCATTGAAGGATTCGTCACTCTGTTGCAAACAACCTCTTCAAATGCCCTGCTGCCAGCCACCGCTTCCAAAGCACTCTAACCTCTTAGTGTCTTTACTCTCCACTAATCCTCTCTTAGGCTTTCCTGTGACAGGGTTGTTGATACACCCAAAAGCCAGCGGCTTTACAGGGGGATCCTCTAAATCAGCGACCCTAGGCCTAGGCCTCTGTGAAGCGTCGGCAGCCAGAACCTGGTTGAGCTAGGGCCACGGCAGCCTGAGAGACCTGCTGCTGAGATCTTCGCAGAGAGTGACGCGGCCAGCCACCTCATTGTTTCAAGCCATGGGCCGCTACCTGTATATGTATATATATATATATGTGAATATATAGGTCAAGACCCTTTGGGTGGGGGGGGGGGGGTTAGGGGAGACATCAACATGAAACCTTTTCTCCTCCGCCACAGCCCTGTGCTATCCGTCAACAACAACGGTCGTCTGAATGGCGCAACATGTGAAATGTTACCCTGAATATCCCCGTTTCCTTGGACCAACACGGCTGGTCAGTAACTGTTGACGCAGGCAATCTGGAGCTACATTGATATGCTTGGGAACGAACTCGTCATGATTCATGATCGATGACAAGTGACTAGGGGGGCAGCGGTAGTCCCGATGTCGGGGCCCACCAAAACATCAGGGCAGGCACCGCGCAAAGTATCGTTTAGTACGGAGCCTTGATGCATACAACAAAGCTATTTAGCTGGCCTCCGGGTCCCAGTCTTGGCGCCGTCGCCCCTTGGGCCCCAACTTCACAATGCCCAGCTTGTTCAGCATGGCGCTCATGCTCACCAGGATGGCGAACCAGGTCATGGTGGTCCATGCGCCCTGACCGACTTTATTGTCTTGTTTTTTTGCTTTCCCGAGTGGAAAGTGTCTTTTTCATGCAAGCCTCAGATCTTGACCCAACACTGTGAACAAAATGACAGGTATAACACGGTCATCTGAGGACTTCCCTTTGAAACATTGAGGGGAGTATCTTTGAGCCTGTGAGCAACTATGAGAAACTATGGCACGTCCTTTCGAACTGGCTCATACCAACCATTGATCAACCTTTGCATATGAACCTTCGCCGCCCCTTGAGAGAGCCGAGACAACCGCCAAGGGCTATGTAAGCTGGCAAGTTACTTCTCCCTCTTGATCGCTTCGTCATGAATACATGCCTGTCTTCAAACAATGCAGTGTGCCTCGAGGACCTAGGTCATGCTTGAGACTGAATCCATTGGATGCTCCTGTCATTGGCCCCAACCGAAATCCAATGATGGGCCCAGGCTGGGAAGGCAGTACCTTTTCTCGGGGCATACCGAACCCCGCTCAAGGAACCCAAGCGGTGAGTGCTGTCGACGGATTCTCATCTTCGGAAAATCTAACAATTTGAAAAGGTCCCTGGTCTGAACACAGCTACAAAATGAACGAAGGTTGGGGGTTCCAACCGGCCAACACATGTTGCTATCCCCAGCCACCTCACAGTCAACAGTGGTTGGAAGAACATTTGTTGGGTGGTTTGGACGAAGTTCCATGACCCACTTTCAGTGGTCAAGGGGAACAGCCCAACCAAAAGTTCAATGAAGGCGACTTCTTGGGCAGTAGGCATGTACTTCAGGGTGAACGATTAGAATTCCTCAATCTGACCCGCACAAGCTGACCAAAATGCAACTGGTGCTGGTGACAACTGCCATATGATTGGCTCTGTGTGTCAACACTGGTGTTCCTGTGTTTCACTTCAGCTTCCGGAATCATCCGAAATCATCCGAAATGGAACACCTACTTTTGAGATACGCCCATTTCGTCTGTTGAAGCAATCATGATGCAGGTCCATGTTTCGCATTCGCACCCGTCCTTTCCACGAGCTGCCTTGCTTAGCCTTGCTTTCGCTCTCCCATGCACCAGCACCCGGGCGAAAGGACACCGATGCTCAACTTGCTGTACCAGGTTTCTACACATGTCGTACATCCATACAAACACCCTGAGGCAGCTGTATGAGTGTAATGTATGTCATGTCATGTAATGTAATGCCATGTCATGTAATGTAGTGTAATGTAAATGTAGTCTAAATGTAATGTAATGTAATGTAATGTAATGTAATGTAATGTAATGTAATGTAATGTAATGTAATGTAATGTAATGTAGTGTAATGTAATGTAATGCACGTGTGTACACGCATATGCGTGTATGCGTGTATGCATGGATGCATGGATGCATGGATGCGTCCCATGCATGGATGCATGGATGCATGGATGCGTCCCATGCATGGATGCATGGATGCATGGATGCATGGATGCGTCCCATGCATGGATGCATGGATGCATGGATGCATGGATGCATGGATGCATGGATGGATGGATGGATGGATGGGTGGATGCACGGACGGACGGACGGACGGACGGACGGACGGACGGATGCATGATGTGTAGACATATTAATATATATATATATGCATAGATCGAGATATATAGTATTGTATAGAATGCAATACCGGTAGCTTTGCTCAGCCGGCCTTCTCCTCTGCGCAGTCTGACCAACTGAGCACTCCAGAGGCAAGCAGCACCTCGAGAAATGGACTCGACTGAGCAGCCAGCATTTACGTCGCAGTGTGTCCCACATGGGGGGGGTTCCCAAAACAGAGATCCCCCAAAATGGCTGGTTTCCTTTCGGCTTGCCTTTGAGTACCAACCCAAAGCGGGTTCACCATTTTGAGAAACTCCCAAATAGGATAAGGCAGTAAACCATTCTGGGGGTGCTATAGAACCAAACTAAGACAAGCTGATTGGACAGCAATGTGTCTGATTACTTAGCCCTGATATTAACCCCTCCCATTTTTCTCATGGTGGTTTGATGACGCAACTGGTTTAAACAAATCGGGAGGGGGGGCCTGGGCATCCCCTAATCCTCCACAAAGGAACAGAGAGACCTTCATTCAAGTACGTGTACTCAATACACATCTGGTAGAGATAGTCGCATCTTCTGCATAAATGCAATGCCTCTTCAAGCAAAATGACAATCTCTATGCACAGGTCAACCGCAAGAACAAGGTGTATACCCTTCCCCTCCGAGGTGGGCTCCTGCAACCCAACAAGGCTGCTGCGAATCATGAATGGCAAAGCCTCTCCAGTTTAGTCATCACACATGTCATTGTCCCTGGGAGAGCCATTTAACTTCTGCTACATCATCGACCCTCTGTTGCAAGAATCCGGAATCCCCGTTCTAGCTGTGGTTCTTTGAGTGCATCCCGTGTTGGAAACAGTGCCAATTCTGCGTAGGTACCTGGCTATGTGCCCACCCAAGTGAGTTTGGACCCCTGATGTCTCCCAGCGAAAGGGACCAAGTCTGAGACCCTTGTTTCAAACCGTACCCACATGGTTGACGAAGTCAAGCATCAAACGACTTGTTCCCTGCAAACTCCACCAACGCTGTTGACTCAGTTCCCAACACGTGGGGCCAACCATATCAGTTATTTGTCCCTCGCTTTATGACTAATGATATCAACCCGTTTGGGTTTCCCGACTTATGTCTGTGTTGTTCGGTGTTAAGATGGCCAGGTAATAGCCAAGACAGTGGAGATCTCCTTTTTCTCCCCCCACCAGCAGGGAGCTCAGTTCACATTCGCCGAAATGGTGATGCTCAAAACACCCAGAAGCAATATGCAAACCCTGCAAAAAGGGCACGGACTCCAAGCCTTTGTTCACAACTCGTGCTCAGCTTCCAGCGCTCAGGCCGAGCACCGCGGTATGCACCGCCGGGATCCTGGGGACACAAGTACGTTGTGTATGCGTGGGTGTGTCAAACTAGGGGGACCCCCAAAATGGCGATTTTCTTGCTGGTTTGCTTGCAAACCAAGCTTTTCGAGACACCCTGAAGAAAACACCACACACACAAACACATGGCGTGTCTCAAAACTCGGACCCCCTCTTTGGATAACTTTAGAGGGAACCCAATCCAATTGGCTCCACAAGTGCTAAGTGGCATATCAATATCAAGTGGCAAGTGCAAAGACATTGGACCACATAGGCGTAAGCTTGCCAACCGCACGTATCAAATCGATCGCTCGCTACCCTGTCCCGAAGGCGGAGGAGCCCGCCCACAGGCACAGCATGCCCGCAATCACACCAGCGAGGATCACCTGCGTACAGCGAGGTGAGGAATGCGGGATTGACTTCTTCATTTGCCTCACCTTCCACCGGGCATCCGACAAAGAAGCTTCTCAGTTAGTAGACGCAAGGGAGTGCGTTGATAAATCTGAGGTTGTCATTGGGGGGTGCAATTGGCCCGGAGTAGGGTTAACTTTGACGTTTAGGGGCGGCTTGGGTGGATTTAGGGTTTAGGATGGGTTTGTAGTGTTTAAGTTAGCGATTGGGACCTTGGTAGGCATCGTTAACCTGGGGGATTTATGTCCAAGCATGTTTGAGGGTACTCCCCAGGTGTGAAGGTGTTCCTGTTCGAGGATGTTCCCTACAAGTCACAGCCTAATCAACACCCGCGCGCCTCATCCCTGGACATCGGCCCCATCCTGCGTGTGCAAGAAACGAGTCCGTGCCAAAAATTAAGGACTCCTTGAGGCCGAAGCGTTGACCCGAATTTCCGACCGCCTATCAAGTTGATCAACGACATACAAGCACGCACCGCAGGCAGGTACCTCTCCTTCCAACCCACTGGCGTGTATCTAAGCTTCCAGTCAAACAAAGCTTGGCTTGGACCATGCATTGCCTTTCCAGTGCCTTTTTAATTCTGAAGCATGCTTACCCTCGAGAGTAAACTGCACAAATTCAATATGTACACACCAAAAAAGAATAGGCTAGCAAACAACTGCAAGTGGTGCCCTCACACAAGTAGCAACGGTTCATGACTCACAAAAGGGTGTCTCGGAAAGCAAAGAGCTCGAACGGCAAAGGACCTGGCCTTTGACAGGTCTTGTATTGCTCACGTTTTGGCTTCACATTCGTCTTGTATTGCTCACATCCACTGCTGGGGCACCACAACTTTTGACAAATTGGCCCATTCCTTCCATGTCTTTTGAGGGCAGTTCTTTCGCTTTTTTCAGGGCACCCTTTTGGGGTAGTGTTAAAGTCATTTTGGGGACAAACCCAGTTCCCGACTGACGTTGCTCCCCTTCTCCCTCGTCGAGGCAAATCCACGGCAGTCACCCATTCGTTTGATTTCCAGGTGTGATGCTGGATTGTGCGAATTTCCACTGTTGCTTGACCCAAACCAATGTTGATCGCTGATTAGTGAACCCGTTTGAAATTGATCAAGACTTGTGATTCCCTGAGTACTTGCTGGCTTCCTGGAGTCTTGGAGCTTGAGAATTAACAAAAAAGATGTTCTATGCTTCGCGCATACCGAGCCGGATTACCTTTCATCCTTGAATCGGGCATTCAATCTGTGGCCAGCTAGCCATCCACGGCTGTCGGTTTCTTTCAGAAAGCCAATGGCGGTGTCATCTTTCTATCATGGTTTCCACCACTATCCAAACCACCACCAAGGAAAAACATGTGTCTCAAACATAGCATCTACCCAGTGGTTTTATGGTGGATGTATTCCCCTATTTTCTTTCGGGGTGATTGGGGGTGATTGGGGTCTCCATCCACCAACATGGACGTGCACATGCTCCGATTCCAAGCACAACATAGTTTTCCGCCGAAACTGTAAACGGTATCGAACCTGGCGAATCGAATCTTCTTTTTGTTGAACGGGAAACACCATGAAACCAGCCAGCGGGTCCAACTGATCACCTCCCGTGGCGCCCTTGGGCCCCCGGCTCCTCGAGCTTGCGCCGCGCCTCCAACGGCGCGTTGGGGGTGCGTCGCACCTCGGATCCACGAGAACCCGCGAGCTGAACCGAGCTCGGTGACCGAACAGGACAATTCTCAGCGGTGCGTCGGTGTTGTTTGGGAAACCCTTTTTCATCGGTTGGATGTAAAGGAAAGCGCAAAGGGAGCTATTGCCATTTGGGGGGCCCTCATTTTGAGACAAACATGTAATATTATCTTTGCCTCGCCTCTTTGGATGGTGCTTGAAGGAACGGTGCTTGAGTCAAACCCAACCTGAACATGGCTCTGTTTTTGGGAACTCACCCACATCAACATCTGGATTCCCGGCCTCGGGCGTCAATGCCCAGAAGGCCACCAGCGGTGTGAGGGCCTCGGCTACGGGTGGCCCGGCGTGTGTTTCCCTAAAAAACGGGATCCCTAAAAAACGGAATTCGGCCCAAAAACTGGTTGGGTTTCCTTTTGATTCAGTGAATCATCACCTACAAGTACGTACAGTAAAAGGGGATCACTAATGCAGGGGTCCCCATTTCAGCGAACACCAATGTGGGGAATCACCCAGGTCAAGTGGCTGATGAGCATCAAGGAAGTGAGCTTAGCCTGCTTCCCTTGCCTGCAACCCCAGTCTGAAAATATCCTAAGTGAACCTACTGTACGCGGGATGACCCTCCAAGCAGCGCGCCTAGGTCAACCTAAAGGCCCTCATGCCTTGATGGCTACGTTACGTCTCTTTGTCATTAATGCCCTGAATTCCGGGCAACATAGGCCGCCAAGGTGCAGGGAGGATCTTATGACTGTAAGGTATTGATAAGTGAGGCACCACAACTATCTTGGTAATTCATTTATGTGTGGTATTTATTGACTATATATATATGTATATGTATGTACGTTGTTCTTTGCTGCTCTATTTCTTGCTTTATTTCTGGCTTGTGTGACTTTATGCTATGGTATGTGTTTGTTGACTTATTTCTGTCTTTCTGTTTGAATGGTGTCTGTACTTGCCTTTCCTTCTGTATTTGTGCTTTATTGCTCTATTTCTTTCCTTGATTCGTGCTCTTTCTTTCTTTCTTTCTTTCTCTCTTTCTTTCTTTAGTTCTTTCTGTCTGTTCTTCCTTGATCTCGTTATGTCCTTGCGTGATTTGCTTTATTTGCTTATTTTCTTATTTGCTTTTGTCGTTTCTTCCTTCCTTTCTTCCTTCCTTCCTTTCTTGCTTTCTTTCTTTCTTTCTTTCTTTCTTTTCTTTCTTTCTTCCTTTCTTTCTTTCTTTCCTCTCTCTCGCTCTCTCTTTTGTCCGGGCCTGTTGGTGTAAGTTCTCTTGCCCACTCAGCTGTCAACACCAAAGGCAGCACATTGGCAATCCAAGTCTGTTGCAGATAATATTTTGCAGCTGTGCGCGTGTGATAAGATCGGAAGTGAAATGACTGTCCGGCGGGCCAAAGAAAGCACAAGTCCGCAATACCTGACAGGCCCATCTCAGGCTTTGACCATAGCCACCAATGCAGGAACGCAGCTGGCCTGACCACGAAGCCCATGGGATGAATATGACGATGCGGCTTGGCAAGAATTACAGCCACAAAGTTATCATTGCTTCGCCACATCAGCAAAGCACAAGAACTGGACAACTACTCGAAGGTTGCGCAATGCATTGTCTCGATGGCACAACGTTGGCTGTTATTGCTGGTTATTCAGCCTGATTCCCAGACGGGATGGCCAATTGGCACCATGGCAGTTCAATACAATTCTCTCATGTCAAACAGAAAGAGGATGTTGAACAAAATCATCTACCCGGAAATGTATTCAAACTAGGGCCTGCTCCAAATGGCAACAGCTTAATGTTGGCTTCTTTTTGGAAGTTCGGCCTTTAACTTCAATCGTGTTGCCTCAGAACATCATTCCCACTCGTGCGCTGTACTGCTCAACTCTTGTGGCTCTATGACTGGCATGGGAGTGCTCTTGGACTCTGGCATTCATTGACGTCTCAGGCACACATATTTCTGGCTCCCCTCGCGGGCACGACGCTTTTGGAGGCCGACCCTCCTTGATTATGTGAGGACAATGCGGCTCTTCGAAACGCCCTCTTACAATCGACGATCTAGTTCCCCGTTGAACAGTGGATGGCAAGCAGCTCTTTAGGCCCTGTCACACATGGCTCTGATTTTCTTCGGGGACCCTTTGGCGGACATCAGAACTACAGGGGGCTTTATGTCCACCATACTACAGGCCGCACATGTTTGAGGAACTTCATAGCACGGACAAAATGGTCGGCTTCCCAAGCCGTTGGTTTCCCAGTGCCCCAAGACGAGTATCCAACACAAACGCCGAAAATGCAACAGCCTTCTTCGGCTAAGCTGCGCCTTCAGCCAGGTCATGAAGGGCGAGGGCACCACATAGCCCAGCTGGGCTGCAAGCCTGCAGGCCAAGGTGAGGTCTGTTCAAACCCAACGCAATAAGGTGTGATAAGGTGCTGCTTTTTGTTTTTCTTGTTTTATATGTTTGTGCCTGCCATCGGTTCACTGAGGTCTGCTTGAAACTTAAAGCCCTAAAAGCCCTGTAAATGCCGAAAGAAACTCAGGAGGGTAAGGGCCTGAGAAAACACAACATGACGCTTGGGTTGGGGCCATCCCCAACAAACCTGACTAGAGGGGTGTCTAACAAAAACTTTGTGAACACAAGTGAACACTCTGAGAGGAGTGCACCCACCCCAAAAAACAATTCGCAGGACGAAGCTTGAAAGCAGAACCATTTGAAGAATCTACCTTTTTGTGGGCAGCCCTTTCGGAATTCAGTTTTGCCGGAGGAGCATGAAGGACCATGGCGTTGCGGCATACTTTGCACTATGGTCGGAATCAAAAGATCTCTGCGTGCTTTGAGTGAAGCCTCCTCAAGCATCGAAATCAATTGGACACAAGATAGGCGTTAATTATCAGAACGAATATCCAAGTGATAAGAGCCATTCAGGCTTGAAGCTTGAGCGTCAAGCACTATATGTAGCCACTGTAGCCAAAAGAGAAAACATGTCCTTTTCACATCAAATCGCAGTAATGATACATTTCTCTTGGGGATAATTGGAGGAGCATTTCAATCATTTGGAAACACCCGCTGGCAATTTCCATGTGCCTTTCCTCTGAGCCGGGCGCTGTTTCAAAAGAGGAACGGGGATCGGGTTCGAAAGCCCGGCCAACATGAGGCCCCGGTTTTTGGAACCCGCCTGAGCGCCAGGAGGTTCTGTGCAGCGCCATAGAGCCACAGGGAGGAAGAGTTGCCGGTCGCCTCCGATGCGTTGCGTGGGTCCCAAGCAGTGGATAGCGAGTCATTCAACCATTGAAATAACAAACATAGAATGGAACAACATGACATAACATGAAACATGAACAAACTTCACAAAAAAAAAAGGTTGCATGACCTTTGTACGGAATTCATGCCAGATTGGAGGCCTCTGGTCCGACCCTCCCAAGCTCTTGGGCAAATTCGGGCGGCCTCCAACCAGACTTGCTCCAGTGCTTTGAATTTGCGGTTGCTGCATATCAGAAGCACCTTTTCTCTTGGCTTTCACACACACACACACACACATCTGCGCAAATGCTTGAAGGGATCGCCAGTTTCGACACATCGCATGTCCCCAAAGTCTGGGAACTCGCCTGAAAGGAGCTCTGAACCAAGAAGCCGCCCGTGTTCTTGGCCTCGGACCGAGCAGAGTGCCACCTTTGATTCACAAGCAAATAATCAGCGAGGACAAAGGCGACACATGGCTTGCACAAAGGCGACTAAGCATTTCAAACACAATTGCCTAGTGACCTTGGCGTGACCATTTTTAGTGGGGAAGTCATTCAAAACAAAAGGGATTAACACGTGTAACAGGATGGAACCAACCTCCACCTACCCACCTACAAACGTCCACACGCTTCCGGCCTTCATCTTCTCCGGCTCAGATCCGCACGCCTGCTATGAGCCACAGCTTTTGTCGCCAACGGTGTCAGAATCGGAGGCCCTCCGAATTCCTTTGTCAGTTTCGGTTTCTTGTCAAAAGTATTCCAAAGTGACATGCGGCGTATTTCGACTTCGGTGCACGTCGATGCCTTGGCAACAGAGTCCACCAATGGGTAGAACACCCCGGCCTTGGCAACAGCAATGACTCATTAAACACGGACCAGATGCACACTTGGGGTCAAGGTAATTCCGCTGTACCTGAGCACCCCACATTTTAAGGTGTGCATGCAGGACGGTAAGGTAACGGCTTGGCTTTCAGAATCACTCGGTCACACAGGGAAACTGCTTCGCTTCTTATTCTGCCTGCTCCTACTTTCCTACTTGTCAATGGTCAGGCTCACAATCCCGTTCAACAAGGGTCAACTGGACTGCCAGAAACTGCGACGTTGGAATTTGTGCATGGCGGGGCAACCATTGCAAGTTTCCGTCGAGGCCAAGGGTTTTAGCCTACTGTTTTTGCTTTATTTTGCTGTTTCTCACGCTAGATATCAGGTTTACACAAATCAACAAGATTTCATTAACACCATCCGAGGTGTGACTTTTTGGGGTACCCTTTTCGGGCGTATTTTCAAGTGAAGTGGCTTATGTCCAGCAACCAATGCGGGTGGGTGTTCCCTTTCGGCTGGGGCACCGCGCAGCCCGCGCAGCTGAGGATGGCATGCCAGCAGCCAGCGCTGGCCCAGGTCGCACAGGCAAAGAACACCATGGGCTTGTGTAAAGAGAGAGGAGAGTGACCCTCCAGGATGCGGTCGTTTGGTACATCTGGAACAACACTCCAGAAAGGATACCCTCCAAAACAGCCATGAGTCTCTGTGAGCAACTGAAAGGTTCATACAAATGCTCCAAGTCTGAAACTGAAGGAGCGCCACCTTCTGCGCTTTGCACATGTGGCGAAGACCTGATAGTATGACCGAAGTCTAGGATGCCATGCATCGGGGCACTACATCAACAATTGCTCAGCTGGGCCTCGTATCATGGCTGCTGTGTTTGTGTTCTGTGGGCAGAAATCAAATGGCAACTGTACTCCTCTGTACCACGAGCGAACTCCAACTACTGCCCTGAAGACATCCGTTTCCAAACAGCCATGACAACATAGAAGCGACAAGGTTGCCGGGCAAAGCGAATGACAACGCGGTTCTCAGTTTTGCACCATGTGGTTGCCAGGCAGGAGCTCTTCGACGCTTTCATTTCACAAGGCTAAAGCTCGGACTACAGCGAAGAATGGTCGGAACCCACACCGAATTTCATGCCCCACCATGCTGCACAAAGCGGGGTGGCAAAGAAGTTGCCCACAGGCTCGTTTAGCCACCAGGCAGCAAAACCTTTTGGCCAGGCCTCCCTCTGCGAGATTCAAGCCGTAGGCAAGGCCCAGGGTGGTTCCGCCCACTAAGCGGACAATGCCTCGCAATCAAGTCCCTTCTCCTTCTCAGCGTTTCCGTGTTGTGTTGTTTTCTTTTCAGCTGGTTTCAATAATCGCCTCGGCCCCCCAGCAAGCGCGCACCCCAGGGTGGTTTGTGCGGTGCTTTCTCAGATTTTTCGGTTCCGCACTTTAGGAAACTGCCATGAGCCCATGCTTTGCCTCGCTTTTCCTTTCGCGGAATGTGACCAACGCACCGCGCTTGTCTTGCCTGTCTTCCTCACAACCGGGGGCCGCGCTCAGCGCGATGCGATCGCCCAGGCCCGTCTTGGCGAAGCCCTCAGCAAACTCATTTGCCCAGCGCGCAAGAAGATGCCTTTTCCAACACCCCCTCCCCCAGGATTTGACAGAATATGGTCCATGTTTGAGACGCTTACAACAAGGTCGGGAAAATGCGCACCGTTTTGCCAAACTGTAAACCAACAAAGACAAGCGGCCCTGCAATCTTGAGGGCGCCCATGCCACCCTGCAGCTTTGCTGCGCGCAAGTGGAACCTCGGCCCGCCTTTGTAAAGAAGAAGGCCAGCAGCACAAGCCACAAGACCTTCAAGGCCAAAGGCTTGAAGCGTGATGGGTCCCTACAAGTGAACATTTTGCCGGCGCTACGGGTGCTCAAATTTTATTCGAGGAACTGTTTCCCTAAACTCTAATTCAAATGTCAACTTTGAGGATGTCAGCCACTTCTTGGACCGAGTCGTAGGCACACTTGGGCCTGTCTCAAAACTGGCGACCCTTGTATCTTTTAGGGAGAAATCCAACGGAGCCCCTTCCCATTTATTTGGAGGGGTCCATCGTGTTGACACAAAAAAGGCTGGAATATAAAGGCCAGCGCGCAAAACACAGCAGGAGACACGAGCATGCATGGCGAAGCGAATGCGCCAGCAAATACATTTGTTGGCACATCCCAGTGTCAGCTTGAAAGAGGCAGCAGGGAAATGTGGCCATCTTGCTGAATTAGGAGCCAAGTGGTCAGCTGTCTGCCAAAAGAGTTTAGCCTTTTGCTGGATAGCAACATGCAGTAGCCTTTGCACGCTCATGGAAGCCAAACGAACAAGCTGCCAAGTCCCCCGCGCTTCAGAACTTCACCGCATGTTGTCTCTGGAACAAAACGTGTTTGACCATCACGCCAAGAAGGATCCCTGTTCCTCGCATGAAAGGGGCGATGCCTTCGGAGCCCGCATTTCGAAGGGTGTGCAGAGCTGATCACATGGACTTACGCAAATCAACCAGGCAACCGATCAGACTTCTACTTTCAATGCGCTTGACAGCAATGCAGCTGGCACGTTGTTGCGGCCGGTGTTGAACACAAAACAAGGGAGAGCTGGGGGGGGGGGGGGCTGCAGGTGCTTTTGGGGAATGCTGGTTCAATGTTTGTTGGATTTGTGTCTGTGCTCAGCCACCTTCTGCTTGAGATGGGATATGCACTGACCCAGGAATCGCAAATACGCAAGCGAAATGGGATAGCAACAAGAGATGTCGCAAACACATTGCTCCCAAAAAACTGCCGCATGAGAAGATTGCAACGTGGCTGTCAGGGACCTCCGCAAAGGCTCGGAATGAGACGGAGGCTCAAAAAACTGACCCCGAAATACCAAACACCACTTACATGGGACATTCTGTTGCTTTTTGGAGCCGAACCCAATTGCCGGCTCCCCAGAAAGGCGGCCCTCGCTCGCCTCGTCAGTGAAAGCCGCCACGCCTTCCTGGAAGGTAAGCCTCGGCAAGTGGCGTCTCTCCCAGCTGGCGCTGGGGTTGAGCGAAGGCTCGAAATCGCATGGCATCAGATTCAGGCATTGTCCGGCTTCCTTATTCCTATTGTTGCGCTTTCAACCATGCTGACGCCTGGCTCTCAACAATTGACCACGGTCCTCTGCTCTCCCTTTGGAAACCTCTGCGGGGTGTATCGCGATCTTGGGCCCCAGGCGTCTTCGTCCTAAGCATCGCACGCCATGGGCGGAGCCATGGATAAAGTCGGCTGGTAAAAAGTGACACTAAGGACGGGCATAGGGGAAGTCTTGTTTTCAGTGTCACTCTTCGAACATGCAACATCCCCCCCTGTCACCCGTGCAAGGTCGCTGAGACTCCGCGAAAAGAACAAGTGGAACTGCGAATGAAATTGAAGGGGGCGTCGTCCCGACTTGAACTTTTGAGGGGTAGGGAGTGCAAACATGTCGGCTGCCCCGGCATGTTTTCAAGTCTCCCACCATCGATGCATATCGGAGTGGTGCTTGAAACACGCCTACAAGCAGCCATGACAAAGATCTCCACTGCATTGGCCCACATCAAGAAACTGAAGATTTGTGCCCCCGCACAATGAACCCACGTTCAAGTCCCGCAAACTGTGTGCTCAATTATCTCAATTGGGCAGCAGAATCACCTCGAAGGGAAAGAATCGTTAGATACAAAGTTAACATCAGTGCGCACGAGAGGCACCCCATATGTGACATGTATAAGGTCTCAACATGATTCAACACTTAGAATCTAGAATGCCTTTGAACAACCCAGCTTACACTACACTTCAACATCAATGCAAAGCATGGAGAGCTTGGCCCATCCGAATCTTGACATCTCTCGTCTTGGGCACCGAGCAGCAACCCCACTGCCAAAGCGCAGAAGGCAACGCCTGCTCAGAAAATCGGCAATGCCCTTGAGGGGCACATCGATTCCAGGATTTTCAAGTGTCCAACCCTCAGAACTACAGATCAACATGCTCCCTGTCAGGCAAAGGTTGGAACAGGAGGAGAGATCGAGGCGGCTAAAGTTCCATGATGGGCGGAAGACAAAGGAGATTCCTGCAAACGCACTCAAACATCCTGCGGTGTGATTGCTTGCGCACTGGAATGCAGACCTGTTCTCATGTATGAATTTCATTCCGTGCCCTGTTGGGACGTCATTCCCAGTGCCATGCACCCTCTTTCCAACAGTCGTGGAAGTGGACAAATCTCGGAATGGCTTCCCAGCACAACGCGCTGAGTGACCGTGACCCGTACAGGCCTTCAAGAAGCCTTCACTTCGGGTTCCCAGTTGGACCCCTCCAGGACTTTAGGACTTTGGCGTCGGTTCTGCTTCCCTTGTACCATCCAAAGAAGGAGGGATTCCCTATTCAGGCAAACCACCATGTGCTTGAAGTAGGCCAATGAGGTATATAGCTTAAAGGTAACATTTAATATCTCAATATTTGAAGAAAAGACACAAGGATGCCGGAACATGATGCTAGTTCTCCAACCTGCAGAAGAACATGGCCTTCCAAGCGAAAGGAGCCTTCACCACGGGTTCCTGGTCACAACTCTTTGGTTGCTGAGGTTGTGGGTCCAATTGCAATTGCGCGGAGCTAAAAGAACAATTTTTGCTTGCGACATATTAACCTACTTCTGGTTCTCCCAGAAACTAATGGTACGGTTGATTCCCCAGATGCAAGTGAACCAGCTCAAAAACGATAACTTTTGGGACTTCGCTTCCCAACTTGCAACATCTGGGAATCAAACGAGGGGACCGCCGGGTCGTCAGCTCACCGCTTGGCCCCTCCCCCCCCTGCCCACACCCGGCCTGGCGCTGGAAGCGGCTGTGTGACGATGCCCGCCACCTAAAGTTCAAGAACCAGCACTTCGCAGAGCTGGCTGTCAAGAGCCCCCTTCACTTGCTTGAGCTGGAAGCGGAAGTAGAAATGCAAACTGAACCCACCTTATAACAGTGTCGAGTCTAACCTGAAATTATCGAATAAGTCGCCAAGGCAAAATCAGGCTGCTAGCTGTTTTTGGCGGATATGCAAACATCTGCTTCATGTAAACAAGCCTGGTGAAGTTAGACTTGCAGCCCAGTGTCTGTGGCCACGAACAGCGCGAGGATGGACCATGCTTGGCCGCTGAGACCTGAAACGCCGCATCCAACAAAATAAACCGCGACGGGGTGAAAAGCGCAGCTGGGCCTCAACACGTCATACTGACTCACGCTCTCAGCCTTGGAGCTATCTGGACAGAGCCAACGATGCGCCTCGTCATGCAAAGAAACTCCAGTTATCTGAGATGAGAAGAGGCCCTGGAGCGTGAGAATGCCCTGGAGCGCGTCTGATACATAGCACTTTTGTACAGTTGATTCCTGAAACAAACATTTGGAGGTCTTCCAAATGAAGCATGACCTTGTTTCTTGGACACGTTCGGAGTGTCAAGTCTGATATTTGACATCTTCCAAATGTCTGCAGTCGAAAAAACGACATCCTATCTGCCAGAGTACCAGTCCTCATGCGGGTCACGGCCACCTCTTCAGCAAAATATGCTTGATTAATGTGCCCAGTCCAGCATCCCCGGGTATGTACTGCAAGAAAACCAATGAAACCATTGGAGCACATTGGAGCGTGTTTCTACGAAACTTGCAACATTCATGAGATTACACACACACACGCACGCACGCACGCACGCACGCACGCACGCACGCACCCACCCACACACACGCACACACACACACACAGACACACACACACACACAGACACACACAGACACACACACACACACACACACACACACACACACACACACACACACACACACACACACACACACACACACACACACACGCGCACGCGCACGCGCACGCGCACGCGCACGCGCACGCGCACGCGCACGCACACGCACACGCACACGCACACGCACACGCACACGCACACGCACACGCACACGCACACGCACACGCACACGCACACGCACACGCACACGCACACGCACACGCACACGCACACGCACACGCACAACACGCACACGCACACACGCACAACACGCACACGCACACGCACACGCACACGCACACGCACAACGCACACGCACACACGCACACGCACAACGCACAACACGCACACGCACACGCACACGCACACGCACACGCACACGCACACGCACACGCACACGCACACGCACACGCACACGCACACGCACACGCACACGCACACGCACACGCACACGCACACGCACACCTCACGCACGCACACGCACGCACGCACCCACGCACGCACGCACGCACGCACGCTCGCACGCACGCACGCACGCACGCACGCACGCACACACACACATCAACCACATCAGCCCGCGTCACATCATCTTTTGATCCTTCCATGTCGGAACATGAATCAAATCAACCTGCTCTGCCTAAAACGAGGCTCGCCCTCCAAACAAACAAAGCCAGCCCACACAACGAACGAATCAAGTAACCAGTGGGGAGCTATTAAGCTTTTGACGTTTGCCAGCAAAAACAAACCCCCGTCCTGCTGGCACCGGAAGCACAAAGCGGATGAAGAGTCCGATGCCCACAGTAATCGCTGTTGGAACCTGCCGCTAGACTCGAATTCTTCGGCCTGTGCTTCTCCCATGACACGCCAAGCATGGGCCCCAAAGACACCCAAAAAGGGAACTACGGGGGCCACGTGTCTGGATCACGTGAGTTTCAAGTAGCGACTGTTTGAAGCAAAGCGGAAGCTGCCTTATTTTCCCAACGGATCAGTGAAACAACTTGCGAGGCTGCGCTTCTCAAACATAGCCACAAGTTTGTCGCAGGCCCTCAGGCCATCAAAGAAACACAGCAGAGTCAGCCAAACCCCAACCGCGAGCAGCTGATCACTGCAGAAAATGGAGGCAGCCTCACACATCTGCATTCATCACTTCTTGCCTTCGTCTAACACGTGTTTGAAGAACACCCCTGCATGAAACGTGCTTACCCGCAGGTGGACTGCTTTGTACTTTACGAAACTGGGAACACGGAAGACAATGTCATATGGAGTGCCTGTGAGTGTTTATTATTTTTGCAAGTCATGGTAGGCATATGGCTTAGGTACACGGCACGGTTGTCAACTCGCGACTGCCCCCCAGGTGAATGTAGCCGGGCCGACCAGCTTGGCTCCCCTCTGGCCGCCTGCAAAGGGCGCCGAGGAAGAGGGTACCATGAGCTGCAGGGCTCCTCCCCTTCACAGCTTTCAGATTGACTTGGGGCTGCTTCAGGCTACCTCCACGTTGACCCGAGCACCTTGGGCTAGACATCCGGCTCCCACGGGGGAACCCTCGACTTTCGAGCTTTCGGGAATTTAATTTGGGCGACTATTTCTTGGCTGAGAATCAGACTTTAAGTAGATTATGGGTGTGTGTGTGTGTTGTTTCGGGCTAAGCCTTTGGGCTTTAGGCCTGAATGAGGCTCTCCACCGACAGGATCTCTCAAGCGTCTGCTGAACAGCTAATAAAGCTTCATGCAACACAGTAACTTGAGGAGTGATTGCTTCTTTGCCTTAATCACCACGGGCTGCTTCTCGATGCCTCTTTCTTAGATACAAACTTGAACTATTCCTACGACGCAACACAGAGCCGACGCAGCTGCGTTCTCTGATCAAATTTGTTCCGGTATCCAGCCTCTCGAGTCTCAGAGGAATCTCACCAAATGCTGAGCGGCAGTATGACGCTGGCGGTTCTTGATGCATTGCATGCTGTATGTTGCTGGGTGGGTTGCGAAGTGTTGCCGCTGCGGCTGCTCCAGCCACACGTCACACGTGCATGGCAACGTGCGATCTATGCAAAGGGTCACCCAAGAGAAGCACCACTGCATTTCCTGACAAAATGCACCATGATTGTGTCTTTTGCAATCGACCAGCGCAATCCCTACGACTGGACTAGTGCCTGCGTTTTGCCGATCCTTGTCAGAACCGCCATCTTAAGAGAAAGAAACGCCTTGAAATCACTCTACGGGATCCAACAGTGGGTCCTAAAAGGTGTCCAAAAGTACACCTCCAGAGAGCCCGCTGCCCTTTTCCCTTTTGGCACCTCGCCTTACCTATTCACACACACACACACACACGCGCGAACGATGCCTCTGGGAGCGGCCGGAGGCGCAGGCGGCGCAGGCGCAGCACCTGAAACATCCCGACGCGGAATTCGCCGCTTTGCCGGTCAAACATATACATCCCGTTACATCCCTGCAAATAAGCATCGAAGTCAAAAACCATCGTTTGCAAAGAAAAGGGCCCTATGAAACCCGGTATCTGATCGAGTCTTTGCCCAAGAGGGTATGTGGGGCCCTCTTACACGGGGGACAACAAACATACACAGAACTCGGAACATCTCGCACAGTGTATACTTCGAGGGAAATTAACACAAACAAACTTTCCCAGCGCGTACTTGCAAAGAGGAGACTTACAGAAATAAGTTTGCAAAAAACTTACGTGCACAAGCATGCAATGCTTGCTCCGCCCCCCTGACCAGCTGAAGTGGACGATGGGCTCATGCTCATCACCGCACGTCTGGTAGACTGTGGACGCGTACATCCGTCCATGTTACAGTGTCGCCAAGTCGACAACACAAACGGACGCTCCTTCGGTGGTACTGGCCTCATTTTTAAGATCGCCCAATTCTCCAAGTGGCAGGTTCTATAAAGGGAAGTAACTCAGCTGCTAACTTTGATAATCCACTGAATCAGTGAACATACTGGGCCTGTTTCGGGCTACGTCGTGGCTGCAAGATTGCGGCCCTTTCTCGCTACCTTCTGTTGTCCAATCAGTGTTCGACAAGCACATTCCCAGAATCCCTAGCACACACGTATGCATCTGAAGGCTCAGGTGGTGGTAACCTCGGGGTTCATGTTTGGCAAACCGCAGCTGCTGGCAAGTTTGCCCCATATGGCGCCTGCGTCTGCTGCTCGCCACACGCAGCGGACCTGACAAGCAACACTACCCCAGGGCCCAGCCTACTACCATGGAACACTCAGCTACGTTTTCGCGGAAGCTCTGGGAGTGCTCTTTCCAGCACAGTAAAGCGGCACAACAAGGGTTTGATTGAAATTATTTCCGTGACACGGCACCTTGTACAGTCGACAGTGTGCGCTGCGACTTCTCTTTAACTCACTTGATCCCTCCCTTGCTACCTTCCTTCCTGGTTCGCCCACTCGTTTGCTCACTCACTCGGTCACTCACTCACGGCAGCAAGCATGCCAGCGAGCAAGCGACTACATGACCAAGCAACCAAGCCAAACTAAACCCAGCCAAACCAACACAAACAAACTCGACAACCATTCCAAGCTCAACCAACCGACCGACCGACAAGCCAGCTAGCCAGCCAGTCAACCAACAGAGACCGCATGTTCCGCAAGCCACTCCTGCCAAGAGCATAATGATGTCATCTTTGCACCAAGTGCCAGCCAACAAATCCTTCGAGCTGTGCGTAGCCATTTCGGGCCTGTAATCTTAATACAAGCCAGCATCATGGAGGCATTGCCGTGCCTGCCAATTTCATGGTATAAAGTTTCGGCATCAGGAGAATGCTTGCTGAAGCTGAGTCTCTTTAAAACAACATGCTTGAATAATGTTGTCATCTGAGCAAGTATCGCTCGGCAAGGACAAGCAGCAATTGGCAATTGCTTGGCAGTGGCAAAGCTTCAACGAGACAGGATGCTGTATATAGTACAAACGTATGTTCTAAGCTCACCAACAAGCTGATTTGCTTCCTTTGGCGCCAAAAGGGCATGGAGTGCAACAAGAAAATGCCGGTAGCGTCCATCCCGCCTGTCGCCGTGCGGAGAAGGCTGCGAGAGCCTCGCGGGCATTCGCGCTCTTGGCAGAAAACCCGGCAGCATTCTGCAGACCTCTTTGCGAGGTTGTCACGATTGCCAACAGGAGCTAGACTTCTCAATGACCTTGCCCTCATGCAAAGGGGTCTTCCATTTCTGCAATAAATGGTCCATCGACACTCTAGCCTAACCATCTCCCAGGCTACTTCCAATCTTAACAATTGCGTTACATGTTTCCGCGGAGCGAACTGGCTGTGCCCAAGGTAATCGATGTTTCTTAACAAAACACACGTCCAACCAGGTGCCCCCAATTTGAATGCAGCTTGCCTCAGACAATCCTCTCGTGTCCATGCCACAAGGCCCCTGCGCTGGCAGCTGCTATGCGATACCGGCCTGGCGCCCATATTCTGCAGCCAAGAGGATTGGTTCTCCTAGATGCACCCTTTGAACGTCAACAAGGGAACTCACTGAACCTGCCAAAAGGGAAATGTAGGGACCCTCAGATCGACATGATAGCCCTTCTCACACGGAGACAAAGAGACAAAACTACGGAGGGACCCAGAGACAAACAGGCAGGCAGACAGCCAGACAGCCAGACAGGCAGCCAGGCAGCCAAGGACGGACAGAAGGAACTAGCAAAAGAAAAAAAGAAAGACAAGAAGACCCTTAGAAAGAAAAAAACAGCAGGCTAAGCAGGCTAGACAGGACAGATAGGATAGGCAAGCCTGTACACACACACACACAAAAAGAAGAAGAAGCAGGGAACGCGGGAATGATCCCACTTCAATTGCAGTATGTAGGCTCCCGCGCACTACTGACGTGGGGCTCTCTCTCGCAGAAGGGTGGTGTAATGTGGTGTATGCCATTTTTACTTGAGATGGAGAAGCAATACACCCAGAACAAAACACTCCTTGGGGGAAGCTTTCAACCTCAGCAGATTGTGAGGCTCAGCGAGGAAAGCGCCCACCACGCATCCTCTTTGGGCGCTTCCCCAACATTGTGGACCCTCCCTTGTTTTGCCTGGTATCTTCCAGGCAAGAACAAACAAAACAAGCGTTTGCGGGGTGTCCTCAAGTTGGCTCCGTCCTTTCGGACATTCAAAAGGGAAACTCAAAATAACCCACCTTTCCAGGGGTCAGCCAAACCCATTCGCAGGGCTCCCCCGCGCCATCCACGAGTCCCGGAGTCCCGGAGTCCGGTCCTGCATCCACGAAGCCCGGCTTGAGGTCCTGGGCCTGCCACTTTGGACACAGAGGCAAATCAATGTGTCGATAGGTTGAACCCTCTTTAATTGTGGAGCTTCGCAAGGCAACAGAAAATCACATAGTCATATCCTTGTTTCCCAAGAGGGGCCGACTCTGCGTCTCTGGATAACAAATGCCCGGCTCTTTTCTGCGGACCTATGAGAAACCCAAAGCCCATGTGTGCCAAAGCCTATGTGTCAGCTGTTGTGACACACCTCCTGAGGGGGGGGGGTGTACTTCCCCTGCAAACATGGCACCGGCCCAACAGGTCGAATCTCAACTGGCCATCTAATTCTCATGTTTGATGGTTCAAACAACCTCTGTCAGGCTTGCTGTCTGTGTTGAAACTCTCAGAAGCCTAGGTACCTCGTTTGGCTGCAAGCACCTCGCTCATCTGCTTCTCTGACTGACGCATGATGCCTAAGTCCCACATCTCCGGCCAGCCATACACCCGCTTTGCGGGGTTCCCCTTATCCCGTTTTTATGTTCAAATGACAAAGGGGCCTTTTCAAAGGCGCACGTCGCGCCCTCCAAACACACATCCCTGCGAACGACTAGACTGGACCAAAACTGAAGGTGCGTGTCTGCTCGAAATCCGTGTTGACTCAACACGCTCAAGGGCCTGGAGCTCGACGTGCCAATGAGCACAAGGGGCCTGGAACAAGCCGCGAGTGCCCCAAAATATATGCACGCCGGCCTGGAGGCAAACGCACATTCTGACATGGTAAAGTTACCCAAAAGATGGTTGTAGCGACAACCAAAAGAGCACCCACCAATAATTGGAAGAGCCCCAGGTTGCGACACACAGCCATGACAAAGTTGGTATGCGCAAAAAGACACGCGACTCAAGCGATATTGTGGCAGCTTCTGGTGAAGTGCCAAATTCATTTCTTGCTTGGGCGCAACTCGTTTCCTGACCCACTTGCAAAGGGCGTGCCGCAACACGGCCTGAATCAGGATCCATTCTTTGCGAAGCGCCATGGCAATGGCATGCCGTGGCCAAGAAACAAAAGTATATAGTATCAACCACATCATATTAATAAACCTGCTGGTTTTACAGCGGGCTGTTGTCTGCAAAAGTAAAGGGTTGCCTCTAAACTGGGATGCCCCCCACTTGTCAAACGGAGTGTATCAATCCTGGTCAAGACTTTGCGGCGCACAGGCCGCCTTCTTGGCAAAGTGGATAGCCTGGCAAGCGCTTGCCACCCAGGATGCCCTATGCCTTGTTTGCCAACTGCCAGTGGCAAACCAAAAAGTATGTGCTCAAGTACCAGGAGAACTTGAGGAGTTGCAAACGCGCTGGCCACTCTCTCTCTCTCTCGGGGAGTTGGAGAAGGTTTGCTCGCTTTGAAGTATGGAGCAAGGAACTCAAGCCCTCACCATGCTGAAAGAAAACTCAAGTGCTGTGATGGATGGTTTCCTCTTTTGCCGTTCAACCAAAAACATGGAACTGACTGATGCGTTTGCAAGCACAAAGCAACAGGAGTATGTTTACAACACAAGCATGCTGCTGTCGGGGCTCTGTGCCATCATGGGTCAGCAAAGCATATCCTCCAGCTGAAGCCTGTCTTGTGTTTTCTCTGCCTGAGTTTGACAAGGGTGATCCTGAGTTGCAAAATGCCAAGCGACAATTGGAGGACTGGGGGGGGGGGGCGTCCACATGGATATGTGGTTTGAGGGTACTTGCTTTAGATAGTGTTTAGGGAAACCAAATAAAAGCCGACAGGTCAAACTTTGTGAGCTTGGGACGGAGGTGTGTGAAGTCAATATATGAGTTTCAGTTTAGTGGGTCCAAGGTGTTTGAGGCATTTGTTTTTGGCATTGGCTTAGCCACCAATATTGTTGCTCTTTTTGCTATGAAAAGGTGTCCTTTGTTGAGTCGCATCAAAATGGAAACTTAGGCATCCAGAACGACACCATGATCGTGAACCTCCCCACTTCCCGCGGCGGCACCTGGGCGGTCACCGCCATGAAATCGCAAGGCCACCAAGGCCGGGAAACAACTATAAAATTCGAGTGGGGGCAGCGCTCACTTCCTTCTGGGGTAACCAACCGTGTGGATTCCCCTGTTTGTGAAAGGGGCATCCTGTGGTGGGCATCATGAGGTTGGGATTTAGCGATTTGGGGAGACATAAACATTGATTGCCATCTAATGTCTCACTGTGACAAAAGAAAGAAACAGTCTGGAAACGGCGAGGAAATCAAAGAGCCACTTTCATGCCAAAACAGGCACTTTGCAAGGGGTCGAGCTTCGAATCGTGAGGTGATGAGCAGGAAGCAGTGGGTAGTTGATGCTGTGCGAAGCCGCTTGCTAACACTCTGCTACAACTGCCTCTCTCCATTGCATGCATGCAAATACACCCTCCCTAACTATGTACGCCAGCTATCACATTCTGATTGGCCATTCAATTGAGCCAGCTCAAGCGTCCTCTGCTGCCGCGCAAGCACTCCTTCGTGCAGTTCTCAAGTCAATATGCTTTTTGGGCATGTGACGATGGGCTTCAAGTCTGAGAGTCAGCTGATCGAACAATCACGGCAAATCGGGAAGTCTCCCATACTGAGTAATCCTCGTTTTGGACCAATACTCAACACCTTGCCACGTGGTGACAACAAAATGTTTATTGTATTTTGCTGTAATACCTAAGGTATTCAAAAGTCCCCTCACAGTATCCATGGCACCCCACCCCATGTTGGCACTGTTTACATCTTTGGCACTGAGATTAGTGCGCGGTGAGACTGTTTACATGCCATGCAAAGGCAAGCTGGCACTGGCTGCCAGTTCAACAGTTGGGTGGGAACTGCCCAAGTTTGCATTACCCTGCATGACTTGAGTCGCACACTTCGGGACCTTTCAGTCAGTGTCTTGCTGTGATTAGCTGTCCAAAAAGATCCACTGCAGTGATTTTACTCATGGCGATCATGGTTATATCATGGAGATATGTATATATATATATATATATTATAAAAAAGCAACATGGTTAGACCCACGCACGAAAATGGTGACCAATGAAGCGAAGGGCCCTCTCCTGTAAGCGTAGGGATTCTGCATGTTGCGCCGTGCCAGACTGCCAAGCGAGTGCTTGGAGCTTGGAAGCTCGGTGAGACTTGTCCAAAGCCAATCGCTGAGCTGCTGGGGAGTTGAGGAGCATGACTCTTGGCATCAAGTTTCAGCACTGCCAACATGAATGATCTGTCAAGGAGCCCTGATGAAACAAGACCACAAGGGGACATTGGCAGGTCAATGGCTTCGGACCAAAGTCACCAAGTTGGTGAAACTTGAAGACCTGCCCATGTGTCCTGCACAAGCAGCGCGGAAGACCAAGGTTGCTCCGTTTTACAAGACAGAAAGTCGAATCAATGAGCATCAGTTGGACAAACACATCAAACCCCTGCCCTTGTTTGGTTTTGGAGGCGCCAGGAAAAGCAGAGCAACACATGCTCGAAAGATCAGTGAGAAGCCATGCACTGCCTTGCCGGCCTGGCGGCAAAACAGGCTTCGTCAGTGATTGCTCGTTGCGCACTTCTGCTTGTTTGCTTTGAGTTGCCTCCAGCAAGGCCTGGGACCATTTCTTATCAGCATCTATGTCTCTCTCGTTGCGTCTTGCCAGCGCAGCTGGTGCGGGGCGAAGCCCTTGAACGATCAGTGGCTCATGACAATTGGCGAGCAATGATAAGCCCGCACCGATTCTGAGATTGATGCCACAACTGCAATAGGGTCCTTCGAAGCCTTTAGCAAAGCCCCCAAACCGATGCGCGAAGCCGATAGAACGCAGCGCGCCAGTCAAGCAGCAACCTAAAGTTCCAGGGACAAAGTGGTTGAGGGGCCAGGCAAAAAGTGCGGCCTTGTGAGGGGTGTGCAGCGCGCAGTCCCACGTCCTCGGTCACAGGGTGTCCATGAGGTCGTGCGCCTCAGGCTTGGCCCAAAGTGCCACATGGCCCAGTGCTGATCAAAACTTGTCCCATGTCTGGACTCCACTGCTGATCTTTCAGCCTGCCTTGTGATAAGTATCCACTGAGGTTAGCCTGCTATGAGGTGATGTTTGGATATCTCTGGCTTGCCCTATATACTCTTTGGTGATCCATGAGAGGGGTTTTGACCATAAGATGTGCACTCGATCCGCCCATCTTGACCATGGCGGTTCTCCCGATTCTGAAAGGTGCTGCCTGGATCTGCTGCATCCCTTCTTTGGCAAGACTCTCTCTCACCAATTCGGGCAAGGCGCCCTTTCGTTGAGTCTCTTTGCCTCTTCCTTGTCGCGCATCTTGCCTCAGCTTTTCGCATGCTGCGAATCCTGAGGCATGCTGCGAATCCTGGGGCATGGAAAACTATGACAACTGTTGCTTGAAGTGCACAATCCATCTGACAAAAACAGAAACCATTAGCCAAACAGTTCTCACTATATGCTTGTGAGGCATTCCCCCAAAAACTACAGATCCCTTTTGGGCACTTGTTTATTTAACAATGAAAATCACAAGAGTTGTCGCTGCATGTTGTTGTCTTCGTTGCCACTTTGTCTTTTGGGGGGGTCCAACTTGTTGTGATTCGCCTGCCTACGTCAACAGAGCTGCCCTCGGGTGTTGGACACCTGGCTAGTGCTTACCCCTTGCCCTTAAGCCATATTCGCAAGGATCGCCATTCCAATTAGATCTCAAAAAGTCAGCTTACCAGAAACAGAACATTTCTTACTACAGTTTGTTAAAAAGTCGAGGTTTGACAACTCATCAAGGGCACCCTCTGCCAGGCCAATTCCCCCGCGCTATGGTACATAATCCCTTGATTGATCATCGCCCTCTTCAGCACAGGAAGCAAACAGGGCGCGGACCGCAGCGGAAGGGAGAGGCCCCAAGTCCCCAAGAGGACGGGAGAAGATCGGATGAATCCTTACCGAAAAGAAAGAATCAGGGCAGTCACTCTAATTTTTGGCTGCATGCTGGTTGCCCTTGGTGTCTAGGGTGTAGCACACACGCACATACATTGACCTTTCAGGTGTCCAACCCCACCCCCCCACCCTCGGCAGGGAGCCATCGGCTGGTGCACCTGACACGCCTGAGGCTGGCGCTTTCCAAGTCCTCCCGCGCCAGCGGCAGCTCCTCTTGGTACTTGGCCTGGGCGCCCAAGGGCCAAGAGGCCAAAATGGCGAAGGCAAGAACGTCAAGTCAGTCATAAGATTGCTGGGAGGGTCTAAGACCTATACACCTGGCACTGTCGGGGTACCCTGTCGTTCCAGAGGGCTGGAAAGCCAAGTTTGTGATATATCCAAGGGCCAGTCGTGTGATAGATCATGTAGGAAAGTTAGCGGGAGGGAGGGGTCGCCAATCTTCCCACAATCCCAGACATTCAGGCAGGGAACAAGGAATAGTGACGTCGGATTGTTGCAGACTGACGAGGCATATCCTATGTCTGCCAGCCACACACAAACACAAACTCACAGGTGTGTTTGCACTGTTTCAGCTTGCGTCGAAAGTAGTTCACCCCTTCAACCGCACCGTGCATGAAAGTCGCCAACAGCATGATAACGACTGACCCATGATGCATCTGGGCGAACCACAATAATTCAGCAAGCTGCAACGAGGGACTCCGTGTGAAAGCATCATGGGTAATGTCACACATATACGCACACACACACATCGCAAGATCGCTAGAATTTGCCCAAATACACGGCTGGGCATCTTGAATCAGACACTACAGGGTTCCTAAGGTCTGACAGAAGTGCGGGAAATCAGAGAAGGTAGTGATGTTCCCTCCAAGAAATCATGCGAAGAGTGTGGTGAAGAGCCAGGTGACAGTTGACTCTTCCATAACCATTGGAGACTACTCCGACCCAATGACATCACCCGCTGTGTTCCAGAATCTCAACCGTCCCTGGAGGGTAGACCTGGTGGGGAGTGGTTCCAGAAACAATTGTCCTAATCTTTCAAAGTTGGAATATCCTTTTGGAAAGGCTTAAGAAAACCTGAACATGCAAGTGGAGGGGCATGAAAGTTGGCAATACAAGCAGACACACAATGACACCCACACACACACAATGACACATACGCACACACACAAAGCTGGAGCAGGTACTCGAAGCCCAAAGCACACGACAAATGGGTCGGTCTCAAAATGGGGAGCTTTTTGGGATTCTTCAAAAGGGTGCGGCAAAAGGACACCTCAACCGCCAGGAGGGGATCCAACTCATTCTGAGACACCCCGATTCCCCTTTGAGAGGGCCCACGCCCTGATTGGGCTGAACTGCCTCGGCTTGGGCTCTCGGGCGTTGATCTGCATCTCTTCCTGGTGCTTCCAAAATGGGCGTGTCTCCGTCTTAGGGTAGCCATGTTGCGTGGGAAACTGCCAACTACCCGGTTTGGGAGAGGTTCCCTCCAAGCACATAAAAGGCAAAACGGTTTGGGGTCTTTAATCGAATCACTCAGTGCAACCTTGCCAGTTGTGCAGCAGGTCCCTCCCGGGCAGGAAGGGCCAAGGCCTTGAAGGGCTTCAGGATCATGACCCCCGGGGCAGGAAAAGAGGGTCGGGAAAGGGGCAACGCGGCCCCAAACTGCCAATTGCAGTTGAACCCATGCGATTGGAAGGAAAATCTCGCTTTCTAACCCCCATCCTGCCGGCGCCCTTTCGGCTTAGGGCGTAACCTCGCCTCGATCAGCCTCTCCAACTCCTCAAGCTCTCGCTGAGCCTGGGCGCCAGTGGCTCCATAGCGCTCCCAGCCGAAGTCTAACCCATGAAGGTTATTCCATGGAGGGAATGGGTTAAATCTCAGAAACGTCGCACCGGGATGACCACAAGTCGGTGTCACCGCGAGTTGCTCCAATTTTGGATTGGCGGTTGGGATTTCAGGGGCGTCAAATCCCCAAACCAGCAATCGAAACCAATGCCATAACCAAACACAACCAACGCAGCTGGACCAGCCAGGCGAGAAACAACAAACCGTGCAAAATCTTACTTACATTTGAGTGTGCCTCAAAATTCGGGAACCGCTGAGTGCTCAAACACAAACACTGAAGAGAGACACCCTCCTGTTCGGAC